CACGTAAGCTTCCATTGTCTTTCCAAGTACGTCCTTGAACAACATCCCAATCATCCTCTGAAAAGTAGCCATGGCGTTCCTCAGGCCGAAAGGCATGACGATGTAGCAGTACACGCCGTCCGCCGTAACGAATGCCGTTTTTTCGGCATCATCGGGGTGCATGAACACCTGATGGTAGCCCCTGAATGCGTCCATGAAGCTGAGCAGCTCGCAGCCTGCTGTCTCATCCACCAGCAGGTCGATCCTCGGGACAGGGTAAGGGTCCATCGGACAAGCTTTGTTGAGGTCCGAGTAATCGACGCACATCCGCCAAGTGTCGCCCTTCGGGGCTAGAACCACGTTGGCCAACCACTCCACGTGGATGACTGGCCGGATATGTTTGATGCTGAGGAGAGTTGCTGTTTCCTTCCTGATGAAATCGCGTCGGTCGGCCGCCATATATCTCTTCTTCTGTTGTATAGGTTTGGCATCCGGCCGCACGGCGAGTTTATGGCATATGAGGTTGGGGTCGATGCCCGGCATGTCCTCCGGCCCTCTGGCGAACAAGATCCTGAACCTCCGGAGGACGGCTATGACCCCTGCCCTGATTTCTGGCTCTAGATCCGCACCAATGGACACCTTCCTGTCCGTCGGATCGTCGAGTTCAATTTCCTCCAGCAGAGTTGCTGGTTCCAGATGAGCGTCCAAGTCGGCCTGTTTGGCCTTTTCGGAGATGCTGTTGACCCGAGCCTCCCGCTCGTTGAGCTTCTCCATGGCCTTCGTGTAGCAGGCCCTGGCCATATGTGGGTCCGTACGTGCCACCCCCACTCCAGTGTCGGTGGGGAATTTGATGCATGAATGTCGTACGGAGCATATGGCCCCCAAGTCTTCCAAACCGGGTCGGCCCAAAATGGCGTTGTGGGCGCACTTCAGGCGGACCACGACGAACGTCATGCTGATCCGGGCAGTGTGAGGGCCGTCGCCGACCTCTACCGGTAAAATGATGGTGCCCTCAGCGTCAATGCAATCCCCGGTGAAGCCGGACAGCGGGGTGCGTAGGGGGTGCAGCATGTCCTTCCGGAGCCTCATTCCTTCGAAAGCCTCCCAGTAGAGGACGTTCACACTGCTCCCGGTATCAACGAGGACGCGACGGACGATAGCATCGTTCACGTCCATGCTGATCACCAGCTCGTCTCTGTGCGGCGCCGGTGACATTGGCAGGTCAGCGGGGCCGAAGGTAATTGCCTCGGCTCTATTGCGCTTGGCGGGGGGTGCTGATACGGAACCCACATAGAGTGATCTCTCAAATTTTTTCCGCTCGGCGGGTGTATCCCCTGTCTCAGCGCCCCCGAAGATCACCTTGATCTCCAATTTCTTCTTCTTGCCCTTTGGGCCGAGGGATCCCTCCGGACGTTTATCTGCACTTCGATAATCCACGTCCTGAGGTTCTGCCTCGCGCCGATCGTCGCGGCGCCATGTCTTGTGCCTTGAGTTCGGCTTCTGCTGGCTGTTTTTGTTCAGCAGCTGGGTGGACTCGCCCAGGTACCCCTGACGGATCAGCTCGTCGATCGCTTTCTTTAATTGGCTGCAATTATCCGTCAGGTGGCCGGTCCTCTGATGGTATTCACAGTAGGCCGATTGGTCGTGCCCCATATGTTTATTCATATCCTGGGGTTCCGCTAGGAGGCCCTTGTCCTTGATGGCCTCAAAAATTTGGCTCACTGGATAGGCCAATGGGACATAGCGGTCGTCCGGCCGTGCTTGAGTATCCCCGGACGGAACCTTCCAGGGGACCATCGCCCCGTCTGTCCTCTTCTTTTTGTTTGGGGGGGAGGGCCCGGGTCCCGGCCCGGGCCCGAGCCTGTCCGCCATCTTCCGTGGATGGGCCGCGGGAACTCCGTCCCGCTGCCTGATCTCCTCCTCAATGGAGGCATACTTCTGGGCCCGAGCAAGAACCTCGGTGTAGCTGGTGCCGGGATTCCTCCTTAGGTCCCGGTATAGATCCCCTGTGGCCAGCGCACTGGTGAACATGTTGGTGGCCAGACGTTCGTCCAGATCGTCGACCTGTAGGACCTCGTCCCTCCACCTTACCAGGAACCTAGCCAGCGGTTCGTCCCGCCCTTGTTTGATGTGGGCGAGAGCCGTGACGTCCTTCCTGGGGGTGGTGCTGGCAGCAAACTGCGCCATGAACTGCTGGGAGAGCTGTTCGTATGAGTCGATGGTGCCTGGCCTCAACTGGCCGAACCATTCCTGCGCCGGCCCCCTGAGGGTGCTGAAGAACAATCTGCAGATGGCCTCGTCTGATGCTCCCAGCATGGACAGGTTCCCTTGGTAGCTTATCAGATGGGCCTTGGGATCGCCAGCCCCATTGTACACCAAGTTGCCCGGGGGCCTGCAGTCCCGGGGAATCTCGACGCTCATCACCCGTGGAGTAAAGGGAGATGTGAGAGAGAAAGAGGGTGTGGCCGAGCCAACGTCCGCCCGCCTATTCATCTCGGCTATCTGCCTTTCCATGGCCTCCAACCTTGCATCCTGTGCGGCCCTTCCGGGGGACACAGGGGGCGCGGCTTCGGGGACGGCATTCTGCTGAGCGGCCACAGCATCGTGCGGCCGCCTAAAAATCTGCGCACCTCGCCGTTGGAAACGTCGTCCAACGGTGTTGATCCTCGGGGTCTCGTCTCCCCGCGGGATTTGGCGGGGGACTGATGGTGTGTGAGCCCTGGATGCAGCGATGCTGACTCTGGTTCGCCCTCCCGTTCCACGGGAGCCTGAACCCCCACCTAGCCGCTCGTGGACTGAGGGCCGATGGTCGCTGGATCCTGTCGTATCGTCATACGACTGCATGCGGCGTATGGGAGAGAGGGGCGTTCGCTGGGTACTCGCGGAGTACACCTGGTCTCGGGCCTCCCGCTCGTCTGCCAAGCGACGCATGGTGTCTGCGAGTTCCCGCATGAGGCGAGGATCCTGCCTGGCCTCCAGGGGAATGAGGTCAGTGATACCCCCGTTTCCCCCGGAGGTCCATATTGTTGCGGATAGTTCCGAGTTCTGGCCGCGATTCCGGCGGCTTGATTCCAGACGCTCGGAGAGATCACGCTGGTTGTTGCTTCCTGACATCGTGTTTGCTGTAGGTAGACTTAGTAGCTGTTTGGGAGAGTTTCTGGAAACTTTTTGGGAAAAGTATAGGCCTTATGCCTTACTATAACATTGATATACATTTTACTATGAAAACAATTTTGGGAAAAGGAGCAAATAAGGTCACGTACTAATAAAAAAAGGTCAAATAAAGCCTTATTTAAGAGACTCTGTCCGGCCATCGCCATTTGGGGTGGTTCTCGGTGGAATTTTTTGATGAATTTTTTTGACCATCTTATTCATTAAGTCTAGTTTACGCATACCAAATTTCAGCTAACAATTCAATCGGGAAGGCATTCAAATGAATTCTTGAAGATATTGCGCATTTATCTTCAAGAATTCATTTGAATGCCTTCCCGATTGAAGTTTTAGCTGAAATTTGGTATGAGTAAACTAGACTTACTGAATAAGATGCTCAAAAGATTTCATCAAAAAATTCCACCGTGAACCACCCCAAATGGCGATGACCGGACAGAGTCTCTTAAATAAGGTCTTAAATAAGGTCTTATTTGACCTTTTTTTGTTAGAACGTGGTTTTATTTGCCCCTTTTCTCAACAATTTTAGAGAGAGTTTGACTTTGCACTTCAAGTTTTGTGCAAAATAGGACTTTACACCCCATCTTCAAAATCATTGATAATTGCTACCCCATAAGTCCAAAATTGTAAAGAAATAATTACATAAATATGACCAAAATAAAAATAGTATACAAAAATATGACTAGTTACTAAAATAGTATTGAAATCATAATAATTTATGTTCAAGTTTTGATCTTAAATTACCACAAGACTACGTTGTAGTAATGAATAGTCATATTGATTATAAATAAATTTTATTTTAATAATATTCTTCATGTGCAAAATCAAATTCACTCAGTTTTTAACTAGAAATGCAGTCGTGTCATGTCAAACTACAAAAATAACTATGTAATCATTGAAGATAATCTAAACATTAATCTTTTAGTAAAAGAAGTGGAACACATGGTGACATGGCCATTATGTCGAAAGACTATCTAATCAGACCATCCTTTTTTTATTTTAAAATAAAAAGTTAAAGAAATGATCCCAAAGAATCCTAAAAAGCTATAAAAAGGATCTAGACAAAATAATACGGAGTAATAGCATGAATGGGTAGATAGACCATCTCATCGGACCATTCCTAGTCCCTTTGGTTGGTTTGCAACCACTTTAAAAAAAGCAATTATCATCTTTTGGCTTTAAAAAAGTACTTCTTTTACCAAACACTACAACTTTTATTTTTCTCGACTTTCGTGTCAAAAGTGATTTTACTTTTTCAATTACACAAAAAGTACTTATTTTACCAAACACTATCAACTTTTACTTTTCAAAATCACTTTTTTCTTAAACACTATCAACTTTTATTTAATCACTTCTCCTTATTTCATTAAAAAAATAATTTTTTTAAAAGTAGAAGCTGTTGCAAACACACCCTTAGTAAACTCAGTAATTTCGGGTCATTTATTTACGGGAAGATATAAAACTATAAAGGTGAAAGCTCCGGTACCCATTTAAAAAATGGGGTACCATACCTATTATTCTCTTGATTGGTCCAAGTAGGTATATCATTTTTAAGTTAGAGTTAAATAATTCAACTGCAATATTCTGATTGATCCATATAGACAATGGTATGATACTTTTTGAATACCATAAAATCTACCAACTATAAATACCTTCCGATTGCCGCTATGGCCTCGCCGTAAAATCTGAAAATTGTGGGACTTGGGAGTGTATTTCAGATCAAAATCGTTTGAGAGTGTTGTATTGGGACTGCAGCAGGGACGGCCCAGAGAAGGGTACCCAGCCCACTCGCACAGAGCCTATAATTTTTGAAGGCGCAACAAAAATTATTAGTAGCATTACTCATCTGCCAGCCCAGGTCCAATGAATTGAGAAAGAACGGAAGAGAGAGCCGGAAGTCTGGACTCAAGCCACAAGCGAGTGAAGGGACGACCGAGTGTCGGATTGACCGAAGATCGCCGCCAGGCGCCAGCTCTCCACCGCGCCCCGCCGGGCGCCAGCTCTCCACCGCGCTCCGCCAGGCGCCAGCTCTCCACCGCGCCCCGCCGGGCGCCAGCTCTCCACCGCGCTCCGCCAGGCGCCAGCTCTCCACCGCGCCCCTCCAGGCGCCAGCTCTCCACCGCGACCCGCCAGGCGCCAGCTCTCCACCGCGCCCCGCCTCCAGGACCACGACTGAGTCATCACTGACTCAGCCTTCAGTGCCTCTGTACTCCGTAGTCCGTACTCGCCTACCCGCAGTAAGCACATACGATTTTCTGATTTTTTGTAAATGCAAATTAGTTTATTGACATCTTGTTATTTGTTTATTAATTGCAGTTATTCAGTTATTTAATTTAATTGATTCTTTAAAAAAAGTTATTTAATTAAATAATGATAATAATTTTATTTCACAATTAAGTTTTAAGGAATTGGTATAAGTATGTTAGGTAACTTTAGGTTTATAATTGTACTATTATAGTCTTTCGTGGTTTCACCCAAAATGTAAACTGAACTTTAACTTAAAATTTATAAACATGTACACAATTAGGAGAAAATGTCAATAATTGGTAGTATGTTTCTAAGAAATACCCATCCAGGTATGAAAAGCTTAAAAAGAAAAGAGGACTTGAAAAGTTAACCTTGTCTCAAATGAAATGTATTTCATTAATGAATACTTATATTTTTCTTATTAAGTTCATTAGTAACTTGTATTTTTAATACAAAATACTCGTGTTGGAAGTTGGAATTTGGAACTTGGAAAGGAAGTTTTCATTAAGGCTTCCGTCATTCCTTGTCTTGGATTTTTTTTTGTGATCCAAATTAATTCTATCTATTAGTTCTTTTTTTTTAGAATCAAACAGTTTAGCCACAAATCTAATCTGTAAGCCCATACAAAATGAGCACCATGGGTAGATAATAGTATGGGCTAGGGTGGGCTCCAGTCCAGCCCAGCTTCATTTTTAAAAAACGGGCAGCCTGGTGGACAATGGCGTCCTCGCAAGGCGAGTGTCCGGGAAGGGTCCCACTACAAGGGTATCTAAGAAGCAAGCCTTCCTTTTTCATTTTGACAAAAGTCAGCTACCAAGACTTGAACGTATGACCTCTTCTCAGTCACACTAACCGGTGCATCAAGGGCTCAAGGCTCCCCTTCTGAGATTTTTATTATAGTAGATGAAACACAATTATACTCCGTATTCTTTGTGTTGTAGGTATAAAATCTAAAAGTATTTGCCTTCTAAATTGAGGATTACCATATAGTTGAGTTAGTTCGTGAGAAAATTGTAGTGATGATACTTTGAATGAAATTGCTTGGAAAATCAATTATAATTACTACAAGTTTGAGACATATAACTTGTATAGCAATAAAAGGAATGCCTTTCAAAGGGATGAGTAGTTGCGTTTTCGATGGGTGATTCTTGTGTTTCAAATATGCTAAAATCTTATTGTTAGTCTCTGATTTAACTATGGAAAGTAGTGTATAATTCCTTTTTATGATGTCAATAATTTTTGGTAATTAAATAATTATTAATTTCTTATGTATAAAATCTTATGATATACTATTTGATCTACTTATTTAGTTTAAGAACCTTTTATCGATTTGATTCAATTCGAAAACACGATTTTAGTAACCTTGAATTTAAGTTTTATCAAATGGGTGTCTGAATCACAAACTTATGGACTATTGAGGTTCTTCTCTTATAAGGAAAAACATGGGTGAGCATGTTAACATTATGAAGTTTGAATTCTTTGTGAAGAATATACAATGGGGCCACGATGGAAAGGACAGGGAGCAGAAGCTAAAGCCATTGCAGATCCCATGTCCAGCATAGTATCACAGCTTCAATCTTCTTTCCTCCAATCCAACTCTACAGGATTGCTTTCTGGTTCCATTGTTCTTCTTGAAGCCAATATAGAAAAAACCGATCTTCTCAATCGTGCGTGTTTTGGCAGGCCGATCATATCTGCTCAGAAGAATGGTCAGTGGTTTCAATTTAGTCTGGAGGAAGCATTTTACTTGACCTATTCTTTAAAATGTATCAATCTTGTGGATGAGAATCAACACAAAATTAGTATTGAAGAGGTATGGAAGCATATGGTATCCCAGAGGGAAAACTTTCCAAATTTATGCAGAGCATATTGCCATCTAAGGTCAAAGAATTGGGTAGTTAGATCAGGGAGTCAGTATGGTGTAGACTTTGTTGCTTATCGCCATCATCCTTCTCTGGTGCACTCAGAATATGCAGTTCTTGTTTTGTCCCTCGAAGGAGGAAGCAACGGAAATGGCCGTTTGAGGGTCTGGTCTGATTATCAGTGCACTCTCCGGCTTTGTGGGAGTGTGGCCAAAACACTGTTAGTTCTTTATGTGCAGAAACACAGTATTGTTGATGTGGAATCACCATCAAGCTTAGATAGTTACACTATTGAAGAGAGAACCATCACAAGATGGAGTCCAGAACAATGCCGTGAAGACAGTAGTTAGCATGTAACCTTCAAAACTGTGCTTGGTTTCTTTTCCCATGTTGAGCCTGGTAGAAATTGTTTGATTGGATTTCTAATTTTTTCCATAATCCATAAAGAATAAGTGCAGGAGTAGTTATTTGTAAATATCACGATGTGTAGGATAAGGATTAAGAGTTTAGAAAATTTTAAAATTATCTCAAATCCCTCGAGTGAGATACTCTTGGTTTGATTCGGCATTGGAATTAAGAAAGTGTGATCGGCGTGGTTTAAAGTTATGCAGATGAGAGAGTTTGAATCACAGATTCTATGTCAGAAAAGAAAAATGAATTTATATTGAGATGGACAAAAAAAAGAATGAAGTTTATTTTGAGAATTGTCACACCTCAACCAGCCATGAAAGTCTTTGATCGGATTTCATACCTGAATATATGTTATATTATTCTCGGTATAAATTAAAATAATATAGCCATTGAGTAATGATATTTTTTAGTTAATATTATCTATATGACTATATCGAATCATTGGTTATTTTGAGTCATTTTCCAAAATATTACCAAGACAATCAGTTAATACTCATGAAAATGGTAATAGTCTCTCCCTATGAAGCACGGATACTTCGCTAGGGTAGCGTATCGGCGTATCCGATACGTTCCCGTATCCGATACTCTAGGATACCCGTACCGTATGTTCCCGGGCCGTATCTGCAATTTTTAAAAGTTTCCATTTTTTTTTTGTAATTTTTTGAAAGTTTCCGATACTCGTATCCTGACGGATACCCGTATCAACTTTTTTTAAAAAAATCCCAAAATTTACTTAATAAAATTCTAAACAAAAATGAAAATCTAAAACTACATTTTACTTGGTAATCAAATAATGGGCCTATATGGCTATATCCGAATTAAGTCATTAACTCATACTCCGAATTGGATACTTGCACTTTTAATTTCAAGATTGTAGTTGTTTGACTTATTTCTCATTTTAAATTAATGACTTATTGACTATATTTATATTTCGAGATGACTAGTGTATATGAGAAATATTATGAATTTATTACCAAGTATCTTGAAAAAGGAAAATGCTTCAATGCAATGAATGAGTAGACATCATAGGATATTATATGTGTGTGTGTGTGTGTGTGTGTGTATATATTCAAAAAAATCTATTTTTAATATTTATAAATAGACCCCTATAACTTTTGATATTTGTAAATACTCCCCCATAACTTTTAATATTTATAAATATGGCCCCGTATCCGTATCCTACTTTTTTTTTGTTTTGACGTATCCCCGTACCCGTTTCCGCGTTTCCGCGTTTCCGCGTTTCCGCGTACCGGTATCGGTGCTACATAGGTCTCTCCCCATCTTTACATTTTATTTCGAAATTGAAAAAAGTAAAATGGTGGGGCTTAGGGGGTGTGATAACTCTACAAATCCAAACAGGTTACCAAGATGTTTACCTGAACCGAAAAAGTCATGTCACATTATCTAATTGGATAGTAACGCCTTCTGCAAACGAAGCACCAATTTAAACGGGTTTACTTTTTATTTTGGAATTGGTGACATGACTTTACGGTTCTTTAAGGAAGTGGTGGGGCTTACTTTTTCTTTGTAATTATAAGAATGTTCTAAGAAATCTTTTACAGGGGCTCTTTAATTTGAATATTTGTAAGACAGCAATCCTCTTTTCAATATGAACCACCCAAAAGGGCCAAAACTGTAAAGTGTGTCTACTTTATTTCATCATCTTCATGACCACAGATCACCAACCGTGAAGATTTCTATGCAGCTTATAGAGAATGACATTTCTTACAGATGAGATTTTCCTGAAGAGTTGCTTATGGGTAAGTAAATCACATCGATATTAATAACACACCAAACGAACAACATTTAAGCGCTTTTTAGTCGGTTTCAAAATACAAAGGCATATCAACTAATACAACTCCATCTAATAAAGAAGCCCGAGGCAATCCAAGCCGTTAAAATACATTATTTGAACTTTAGTTTGTCTCAAGGCTCCTAAAAATGTATCCTGGAGGGTCGTTCCTTGTCCATTCTGGCATCACCATAAGGCTCGTCATTGTCCATACGTTTGTCGTGCCTAAATGCTGCACAAGCAACCACGTACATGATCACCAAGATGATTAGGATGACGATGTTGATTACAGAAACCTTCCTCCAGCTCTTCTTCAGGCTGGCTAGTATACCCGCTTTGCAAGAGTCACAGTTATAGCAGAGCAGTTCTTGATCATTGCTCCATCTTTGGCAATCTAGGTCTGCTCCAAAGGTTCCCGCTCCTACGTTCCAGTATGTCTCGTTCCCATATATATAGCCACAGGCTGTGGGTGGCTTGCAACATCCAGACTGCAACCAAGTGGCGAACTCGTTATCAATAGCATGTATTATTTTGCTTCCATATAAAACTTTCAGTTTTTGACAAGATACCAATCACTGTGTTTAAAGTCATATATAGCGCTGGTTTGGTAAGGTTCATCATCATCATTTACCCCAGTGCCGCAAAGGCTCCCACCTATGGTAGGGTAAGGGGGTCAGATGTACGCAGTCTTACCCCTGTACTAGAGCACAGAGAGACTGTTTCCGGATCACCCATAATGAAAATCGCATCCAAAATTGCATGGACTGACTGCTGCTTCATAATAAAGTAGCGCAGACAGTTTGGTGAGCCATTTTGCTTTATTCCATCATATTTTCAAGCCAAAAAATAATGAATCTTTGACTCCATATTACAAATGATGGTCTTGGTTTGGTAAGGTTAAGTTGGCTAAAAATGACTGAACACGCTAATCTTTTTGAAAGGAAAAATATTGAGTAACAATCATTTTTGGTCAAAAAAACAAGCCAAAAGTTGCTAAGAGTCTGTTTGGTAATACTGAAATTGATCGAATGTGTGAAAATTGATGTAGCTATGAGCAAGCAATTATCACATGGATTCCATCTAATGTTAATAAGCTGGGTCCCTAAAATTGGAGTGTGTGGCTATACTAAATATCATATCTTTTTCCCAGCTCAGTTTAGTCATCAACATTACAATCAAAGTAGGGAACACGTTTTCTCTGATTTGAAAGCACAATGAATGTAATTAAAACGGTCATAATCCTTGTCAATTTTGCAAAGGGACCTAACCCCACTGCTACAAACTGCTTACTACCTCAACTCATTGAGGTCTGATTTTTTCTACACATGGAAGAATTAGTTTGATAAATTTTGAAATTTTATCTAGTTATTCATTGTTTTTATAGAGACCTGAAGCAAATTAGACCTAAAAAAATCTTCAACTGTGGGTATTTAAATAGCCATTTAGGTCATGGGTTTCCATAAACCGAGACGCTGACAACTTACCCCAGAACAAAGACGACAACATTTTGTGAAGGGAAGAAGAATTAATGTTCATACTTCTTCATGAATGGTCAAATATCCAAAATGGGTCCATCTGCCAAATTTACATTAAATGAGTCTCATACTGTCATGCCATGTATAACATGCTTATTAATTAATGTTACAAAGGTAAGATCTAACCGTGTCAGAGCAAGTATGGCAGCTGTTGGTGCCTTTGTGGACAATTAAATTTGGGTTTAGTTTAATTTTCCTTTATATTTAGGTGCTTCAAATTCGTTCTTGCAAATTGTTAATACTTCTGATTTGGCTACTTTTACCTTACTTTTCCATTTTTTTTACATTTTGTCAATTTTCCCATCCTTTTCTGCTTATTCATATACTCTTTCCTAATAAATCTTCTTTTGTCATTATTTGTATACTATTTTACTACTAAACTTAGTGAAAATCTACAGGTGCAACAACAACAAAAAAGAAGAAGTGAGTTTCACATATCAGTTTTCATTTTCATTTTCACCACTTCAAAAGTACCTGCTTGGCTTACATGTATGTTTACTCACCATGGTTACACAGCCTGCCAGACACGTGGCATCACAAGAATCGTGACAAGAGTGCGTCAACAATGGTTACGTCTAATAGTTGTCATGGTTAGGTGGCGCAATGTCATGACGGTGTAACCCTTCCACCTCTAGTGAGTGAAGGCTCTCAATGTTAACTGTAGAGGCTTCAAGTCAAATTTGTACCAATTGCCATTTAGGGGGAGGCTGTAGGGGGGGTGGGAGGAAACAAGAAGGAAGGATCTTGATTGTCTAAAGAAAGGCATACCCAATTGGGATGATTAAGGGTTAGCTTGGTAGCCAGCTTCTTCTGCTTAAGCAGAACAAGTAGATTTTACCCTATTTGGAAAAAGGACTCAACCAAACTCTCTTCCTTACATGAAATTCAGTAGACTCCGAAATTTTAGGCTTTTAGCTAAATCAGACTTACCAAACGGGTAACAAACCCAAGAGCTCCATTTAACTTTACAGTCCACAGAAATGAATGAGAAATTTGAAAATGGCAAAAAATGAATTAAGGCAGATAGATCAATAAAAAATAGAGCCAAGTATGAGGATGGAAATATCTTTTTTTGTGCTTTATTATACTCCATATTACACAACTAGTATCTACTTTAACGATCTTGACATCTCATCATTTGTGTCACTAGCACAAAACGACAACCGAAATAGCTGGCTGGTGAAATGTCTCTATATTATGTTCGATGATTTCAATGTAAAAAAGATGATCAACATCACCTTTCTTTTGTAATTTTCCTTTTTTCTTCATATAGCGCCTGGGGAATGTTTCTGAGGGCATGAATATGGATATGCAATATCCTTGAATGATTTAGTTCCATAAAAAAGTAAATGAATTTCCACAATCATGCAAGAAAACCCAAAGCTGCAAACTTTATCACTTTTTTCTTTGTCCAATTATTTTCAATAAAGTTGATCTTTTTTCTTTAAAAAATGAAATTAAAAATGCAGGCTTTCTTTTCTTGTGCAGTAAAGGTCCACTCCATAGCAGCAATGGTTAAGCCGCAAAAACAGATCTATATGCAAGCAATCAAACTACATCCTACTCAATTTTAAGTTTAAGGACAATTCTTACCCAAAAACAGATAACTAATTAGTTTTTTTCTCCTACTAAAAACACTGAAAATTAAAAATATTTATTAAAAAGAAGTAAAAAGGGAGAGTATTGGGTCATAACATTAACATACCTCAATAGGATTGAGATATCTGAGGTAAAACATATCAGCAGTCTCAGGATAGTTATAAACAGACCTTCTCAGCTTGCCACAGGTATTTGAATCCCTGATACAAGAACTGATCTTTGTCCAGTAGCTTTGACTAGTGACCCTTTCCTCCAGCCACCCAGAGTAGTCCTGGAGGTAATACTCCATATAGTGCCGGCCCAAAACGGGTCGACCCGAACCCTTATCAGTGACAGAAAAGGCAAAGATGACAAACCCAATAAGGGCAGCAATGATGAAGAACATGGCCCAAAGGTAAAGGTACATGAGGAAAGTATTCCTATAACAAGCCCCAGCAAATCCAGCCAGAGAGACGGCCATGATTGACACACCTATGACTATGAGCGGCCATTGAAGGAATTTCATGCAGTCTGTGGAGTTGGCTCTGCTGCTCAGCCATATCCCTCCACCAAGAATGGGAATTGAAGCTAATAATGTCAGGAAGTTTATGACACCTATCAAATGGTTGCTGTTTCTCATTTTCTGGAAGATTTTTTTTTTTCTTGAAGAGATTTCAGAAGAGGAATGAAGAAGAAGAGGAAGAAAAGGGGGAAGTTTTGGGTTTGGGCTCAACAAGAAGACATGGGGGTGGACAGGTTTGAGTGAAGCAAATTGACTCGGAGGAGTTTAATTAAATATATGTTGGCCGAATTCAGGGAATTGCGCGGCTGCTAATTCTCATGTGTTGTTTTTTTCTGTTCTTTTTCGTGTCACTGATTTATTTATATTAATAATATATTACAAACATTAGACAAGTAATAATATTTAAATATAAGTATGTCATATGAGTCAATCAAGGTTAATGTCACGGAATACAAATGGGGGTTAAAGAAATTTACTGTAGATGTTGTTGAATTCCGACTTGTTTTTAGAGTTTATGCTTACTATGTTATGATTCTTATCCGTTAAAAATTGTTTATCAAATAGTCACATGTTTAGGTACTGAGTGAATGAATATAGTTTGTCAATGGTCGACATAATAGGATTACTTTTAATATTTCTAAAAACGTATACTTCGTCGACATAAGTATATCTCTAGAGATGTTTTTACCGTAATTTGTCCCAGATCACGCTAGATCACCAGACCAGATTTAGATAGTTATAAAAATACAAAGAAATCAGACCATACGAGATCAGACCAGATCAGATAAGACCAGATTAGCAAATTACAGTCCAAGTAAAAACATCCTAACTACTCCGTATTAGTTCAAAATATAATTCTATTTTTATACTTTAATCTTATAATTGCTTCTCCTCCTGGTCGAAGAATGTTTTTACTTGGACTATAATTCGCTGATCTAATCTGTTTATATCTAGTCTGAATTGGTTTGGTTTGATTTAGTCTGGTAAATGTCTGGTCTCTGTTTATTTTATAATTACAGAAGTCTGTTTTGATCTGGTCTGACCGATTTAAGTTTGATCTGGTTTGATCTGGGATTGAAAACATTCCAAGTAAAAACATTAGATGAACGGAAAAGGTCACATGAGAAATTGTTGGCAAAAGCTATTTGACATTCATGTAATTTCCATATTTAAATTTGTGTTTTTAATTAGTTTCGAGTGATTGTTACTTTGGAAATTACACATTTTTGGTGTAAATAGTTTAGTTTGTAAAATATTTGTAATATGTTTAGATTAGGTTTATTCTGAGCTCAAACAGGTCCAAGTACACTTTGGAGACCATTGGTGAACATCACAAATGCAAGGAAGGTGCAAGAATACAAGAAAAAAAGTGAAGATCTCGTTTTTTTCGGTCTGTACCCGGTCGGGTATGACCTATACCCGGTCGGGTACCCTTCTGAAAAATCGAATCAAATCAAATCCGGGAACAAGTCATCATGCGGGAGGATTTTAACACGTTCGGGTGTCCATACCCGATCGGGTGACCGACAGACCCGATCGGGTATGACCCATTTTCCAGCTTCGAAGAAGCCACCTTTTATACCCGATCGAGTGAGCTGAAAGCCCGATCGGGTACACGACCCTGCAGGCCTAAAAAGCCTATAAATACACCCCATTTTCTCCACAATAAGGAACCAATTCATATATACTTCTAAGCTCAGTCTAGATAAGTTCTTTCTTTATATTTTCTTCATGTTTAGTCTCCAAATGAGGAGCTAAACTCTTCCATCTTGGTTTTGCTACTTTGAAGCTTAATGAATTGTAAGTTGTGAGTTATTTTCTTTAATCTTCTTCCTTGAATATTAATTCATTCCTATTCCTATTTCATATTAATATTTTGAGCTTTACTTAAAGGATCAACTAGTTTTGTTTCATATATTAATTAATACTAGAATCCGTCGATTAATACGCTTGTTATTAATTCGGTCCTTTCACGGTAGTAAACTTGGGTTGTTAATGCATGCGTCTCATGGTTAATAATCTAAGGGGAATTAATTATATTGATTAAACCGATAAACCGCTTGTGTTGAGGTTATCAATCTCAATCGTTTTCATCTCTTTTTTATTGCTACTATCGAGTGAATGTATGGCGCGTGTTCTATATTAACTCGGTAGTAAGTTTTATTAATGAACGCGTCTCGTTATTAATAACTACCCTCGATGAATTGGATATACTCCTCGATTGAGTATTCGAGAGGAAGATAGTTAAAGATATAACCGGGATCGACGAACATTTCATTAAGTGGATAAAAGCAAAGCCAAGTCTTCTTCTCATTAGTTAAACCACATAACTCGTTCATCTTTGTGTTTCAATATAATTTAAGTTCATAAACCAATCATAAAAACCCCCCTTGTTACTTATTTCTAATTCTATAAAAAGAGAAGTGTTCCTTTCCCTGTGGATACGAACCTTACTACACTATACTACGTATTAGTGTCGTATTGATTATTATTTTGAGTGCACACCACGACAAAGTGCACGTCAAATTTGGCGCCGTTGCCGGGGAAAGGCTATTATTTTTCTTTTTATTTTATTTCAAGAAAAATCAAAAAAAATAATTAACCAAAAATATAAAGAGTTCTTATTTTTCTATTTCTGAGCTTTGTGAAGTATATGGTCCGATATCGTTCTATAAACGAAATCACTTATCAAGCAAATCCCGAAATAGAACAAGCCTTCGAGAGGTTGAGAAATTTAATTCCGCACATACCCTCGGATGAAACCTCAAACGCTAGCTACAGTTCTAGCGAATCAGAAGAGCCAATCACTATGGCTCAAGAAACAAGAACCTTGAGGGAGCTCACAGCTCCGAACTTGAATCAACAACCGTTATGTATTACCTTCCCTACACTCAACGAGGGTAATACATTTGAGCTAAAATCTGGGCTCATTCATCTTTTGCCATCCTTCCATGGCCTAAGAGGAGAGGATCCGAATAAACACCTCTCGGAGTTCCATGTTGTATGCACAAGCATGTGCCCTAATGGAGTCACCGAGGAGCAAATCAAATTGCGGGCTTTCCCATTCTCACTCAAGGACACCGCAAAGGATTGGCTATTCTATCTTCCTTCGGGAAGTATAGACACATGGGCAGCAATGAAAAAGGCTTTCCTTGAAAGGTACTATCCCGCCTCTGTCTCCTCGTCTCTCAAAAAGCAAATCAGCAATGTGGAGCAAAATGATGATGAATCGTTCTATGAATATTGGGAACGATTCAAGAAACTTTGTGCGAGCTGTCCGTATCATGACTATTCGGAGCAAGACCTCATTTTATACTTTTATGATGGTCTTTGCAACGATGATAGACGGATGATTAATGCTGCGTGTGGAGGAGGAATCGTTAACAACACTCCTTCTCAGGCTATGAATCTTATCTCGGAGTTGGCCGAGAATTGTAGATATCACAACGGGCGGTCATCAACAAAAAGAGTCATGGCGGCCGAATCAACATCATCTCTAGAAAGTCAAGTTGCCGGCTCGACTTCCTTGGTTAAGGATTTTCTTTTAAATTCTAAAACCCAAGAAGTCAAGGTCTGCGGCATCTGCACACAACAAGGCCACCCCACCGATGCATGCCTGAGCCTTCAAGAAGAAAACCCCGAGCAAGTCAACGCTTTGGGGTTCCCAAACCAAAAGAGGTATGATTCTTACGGCAACACTTATCATCCCGGGTTTCGAGATCACCCCAACCTTCGTTACGGGAATCCGCAAGGAAACCCACAACAAAATAACCCTCCACCAAATCAATTTCCTCCAAACAAACAACCATACTCTAAACCCCAAGGCCAAGGCTCAACTATGTCCACCGAAGACATGATCCGAGCACTCACCTCAAATGTCTCAACCATGCAACAAAACATGGTTCAATTCCAACATGAGACAAAATCAAGCATCCAAAACCTTGAAAATCAAATGAGCCAAATCTCAAGTGCCGTGAGTAGGCTTGAAGCCAAGGATTCAACAAAACTTCCATCTCAAACGGAACCGAATCCTAGGCAACAAGCCCATGCGGTAACATTGAGGAGTGGCAAAGAGTTGGTGATTGCCAAGGAGAAAGCCAAAAGCCACATTGGCGAGGAAGAAGAAGAGGAGATTGTGGACAAGGCTCAACCTGAGGAGGAGGAAGCTCACACTTTAACCCCGCCACCGACCATCCAAGAAGTTGAAGCTCCATTCCCCGAAGCTCTAAGGGAAACACGGAGGGTGGACAAAGACAAGGACATCTATGAGACATTCTCCAAGTGTGAGGTAAATATCCCTCTTCTTAATTTAATAAAGGGTGTTCCCAGATTTGCAAAATTTTTCAAAGAGCTTTGTACAATAAAAAGGAAACGATTTTTTCCCATTTTCGGTCCCTCGACTATTGTGTCAGTGACACTTTTGGTACTCGACTTTTAATTTTTCCATTTTTAGTCCTCGACTATTGTGTTAGAGACACTTTTAGTCCTCGACTTCAAAGTGTTCCACATTTAGTCCTTTGATATTATCAAATTGACACTTTTAGTCCTTCTACTATGATTTTGACACAATAAGTGATGGACCAAAAATGTCACTATTATAATAGTTGGAAGACCAAAAGTGTCACTTTTATGTAAGTCGAAAGACTATAAATGGAGATTTTCAAAGATGGGTACCAAAAGTGTCTCTAGTATAATAGTTGAGGACTAAAAGTGGAAAAAATCAAAGTCGAGTACCAAAAGTGTCAGTGACATAATAATCGAAGGACTAAAAGTGGAAAAAACTCAAAAGGAAACATAGACTCAATGGAAAACAAAAAGTCCAAGTTAGTGAACGTGTTTCCGCGGTCTTTCAAAAGAAACTCCCAAAGAAATACAATGACCCGGGCATGTTCACTATACCTTGTAAGTTGGGAGGCACTACGTTTTCAAAGGCCATGTTAGACTTGGGGGCATCAATTAATGTCATCCCTTACTCTTTGTATAAATCACTTGAACTTGGCCCTCTAAATGAAACCGGAATAGTTATTCAACTTGCGGATAGATCAAATGCCTACCCTAAAGGTATTGTCGAAGACGTACTAGTTATGGTAGACAATTTGATCTTTCCCGCCGACTTTTATGTTTTAGAAATGGAAAATGATAAGAATGCGGTTCCTATCCTTTTAGGAAGGCCATTTTTAAAGACCGCTAGAGCTGAAATTGATGTTTTTAGCGGATCTTTAACTATGGAATTTGATGGAGATAAAGTTGAATTCAATATTTATGACTCCATGAAATACCCAAATGAAAATCATTCTCTATTTGCCATTGATATTATAGATCCCCTTGTGC